TATATTGAAAAGAAACGAAAGGCGTATCTGCAGTCTGCTACATTGCTCCCGGGAACAAAGGCGTATCTACCTACGCCGCTGCTCCACGCTCCGCGCGCGAGGCACCGTGTAGAGAGACTCCGGGACGGGACGGGAGGGTCAGTGCGGCGACACCGCGCAGCGAGAGGAGGCACTCTTGGCCGAGTTTTCAGATTTTTCTGAAATTGTTGTGAAAGAATAGGGTGTGATGATTCAAAATGAAACGATCTTCTACGGGTACCTTACCGTCCTCGCGTTCCCAACGCCTTTTGTCGCTTGCGAAGCAAAAATACGAGGAAACGAATCTGAACCTTGGTAAGTCGTCATAGCAGTCGGCATTGTTATAGTTCAAAAATCAACATAAATTCATTATGTAGACAAACCGTAGTTGCCTTACTTCTGTTTTGTTTATTACTTATTGTCATTTATTATTATTTTCGTTTGGTATCTTGTACCGCTTGACGCCTCCTAACCTCTAGTTTTGTCTAGCTTTGCGTTGCTTATGTTATTATGGTTAAGAAAGACGACACAGAATGTATGTTTACGGTATTTTCTTTGGTTTAGAATCAGATGAAAATCAGCCGCCACCAGAGAGCCCATGCCCTGTTCTCCCAGATGATCCCGATTACCTTCAGTTTTCTGATCAACTTGGTAGGTTGTATGTTTAGTTTAACTTAGTGATTCTTGTATTGTGGGAGTGTGGCATTCATTAGAACTGTGTTTTGTGTTTCAGACAATGCACACAATGGACAGGGACGACCCGTATATGTAACACCACATCAACAATATCAGAAGCATAGTTCGGTCCCTGCGGGCAAACCAACCAAGAAAGTTTTGGGAACTTTAAATGCAGCCGATTCTGGTCAGTTCTGTTTTGATTTGTATTTTCATTTTAAACAAATTTTGTGGGAGTATGGCATTCATTAGAACTGTGTTTTGTGTTTCAGACAATGGACAGGGACGACCCTTACATGTAACACCACATCAACAATGTCAGAAGAATATTTTGGTCGATCCCGTCAAACCAACCAAGAAAGTTTTGGGAATTGTAAATGCAGACGATTCTGGTCAGTTCTGTTTTGATTTGTATTTTCATTTTAAACAAATTTTGTGGAATACCATTCAATTTTGTGTTGCTGAGGGTACAAACTGTTAGCTATAACTCATTGTATTGTTCCAGTAGAATTACGATCACCACCCAAGAAAATTATACATATAGGTAAATGGATCATATTTACCTTGCTGCTACACATAGGAAGTAATGTGAGCAACCATTCTTTATTATTTTTTTTTTCCTGCAGATAAAGGATTAACAACTACTTCTTCTGTTGAAAACGAAGCACCTGTTACGGCCAAGAGGTCATTATTATATGACAAAAGTGAGGTCCCCAAAAGTCGTGGCCTTGGACTTACAATGCTGGCGGGATATGAGTCTGAGGACAGCAGGTCGTCACAAGAATTTCCAGGTGAGGTGCACTTTAAATCAAATGCTAATTAATAATTAAGGAAAATTGCAGTAATTTTTACTTTTTTTGTGTGTGTTTTGCCAGCAGGTGTCCAAGCTCTAGACACACACTCCCTATCACCAAAAAGCAGTACTTTGGAGGATTTGGAGGTAACTTCTCCATGGTTGGAAGCATTAGATTGTGATTTCACTCCTGCTGTGACTAAAGGTGAGCTAACTGCTGCATCTTGCCAGCCACTCCTTTCAATATTGGTTTTTTAACACATGAGTAAACTGCCATTAATTAAGAGAGACCTATTTTATTTTGATATCATTGATGTAGAGTATCTGTAATATATTCTTTTGAAGTTAGATTTGTTTGCCTCATATAATTTACTGGTCACACTTGAAATTAGCTGCCTAATTAAGATCTACCATATCCGAAGTTGACTTCGTAATAACTGGCAATGAAATCTGAACGCTTCCTTTAATTTTTGGGATGGGGAAGTTAATAATGCATGCATTCTATTGGTCTATCTTTCTGTTCTAGGAGACCTCAATAACAATGGTATTACAACTGATAACATTGAAACTTCTGATGGTATGTTTACTATTTTCTGTTCTATTTAATATATTATTATCATTATGTTGTTTGTTTTTTATTTGTGGGAGTGGAAGAAAATTTTGCAAGTTTTGGTAGATTTCTAATTTATTTTACTTTGTTACAGACGATAAAACTTATACTGAATTAAAATCAGTGTCAATGTCAACATTTGATCAGTATAGTTGGGACGATATCTACCAGGGTGCTGATGATGACGCAGTATTGCCTTTTGATCCTGTGGTGCAAGACACTGAAGAGGAAGTGGTTTCTATTGAAAACGAAGTTCCACAAGGACAAACTGTTGCTGTTGACACTGAAGATGATATCGAAGTAACCCCTGCTCTTGTTCAAGAGCCTCCTGCTGCTGCACCACCCACAGTACATTTCGAAGAGATTCCAGTTGATCAAGAGCTTGCTGCTGCTGCACCACCCACTGTGAATGATGAGGATCATTATCCAAAACCTGCCCGCAGCCAGAACCCTGATAATTGGAAACAGAATCAAGTTAAAAAATTAAAGGAATCGGGGCAAGCACATGTTAGTCTCAAAGGAAAGGTAAGGGAGAAAAAAACCATGAAGGAGGGTTGCTCTATTGACTGTAAGCGGCATTGTCAATCCAACTTCACCCATGATGATCGCTTAGCAATCTTCAAAAAGTTTTATGCAATAGAGAATCACACAACAAAATGGTATTTCATTTCTAATCATGTGAAAAGTGAAGATGTGAAGCGAAGAACTGTGGTTGTTGTTGGACGTGCCAGAAAGAACGTTAGCAATACCTACTATTTACCACTTAATGGTGTTGATAAACAAGTATGTAGAAAGTTCTTTTTACATACTTTGGCTATCACTGAAAAGTGTGTCCGAACTGCCCGGGAAAAGAAGAAACTACACATTGGTTCAATACCTATAGATGGCCGTGGCAAGAAAAAGAAGAGAAAAATTGTATGCACTGTTATTAGAGATGATGTAATGAATCACATCAAAAAATATCATACAATTGAAGGTCACTATACCAGAAAATCTAGTAAAGCTAGATACCTACCTGAATTTTTAAACAGAAGAATGATGCACTCTCAATATCTCATGGAAAAACAAGCAGAAGGCATTACAGAAAATGTTGCATCTCTTAGGCAGTACCGTGATGTTTTCAAAAAAGAATTTAACTTAAAATTCTTCAAGCCCAAGAAGGATCAATGCTCCAAATGTCTTTCTTGGAAAAACAAGACTCCTGCAGAGAGGACAGAAGAGGCTTCACAGAAATATCACAAACATATATCTGATAAGAAAATCAGTCAAGACTTAAAAACAGAAGATATTGAATTTGTGAAGCAAACACCTAATGAAGCTATCTGTGTAGCAACATGTGACCTAGAAAAGGTATTTTTGTGCCCAAAAGGGGAGAACAGCGAATTCTATTACAAAAGTAAACTAAGTTTATACAATTTTACAATTTTTGTCAGTGGTGAGCAAAAGGGCCTTTGCTATGTCTGGGACCAGACAGAAGCCAGAAGAGGGTCAGCTGAAATTTCAAGCTGTCTTTGGTCATTCTTGAAAATGAAATCAGAGCAGGGAGTAAAAGAGTTCAGATTTTACAGTGACAATTGCTCCGCTCAAAATAAAAACAGATTTCTATTTTCTATGTACATCATGGCCTCCATTCGTTTAAATGTAAGGATTGTACACCGGTATCTTGAAACTGGACATACCCACATGGAAGTGGATTCAGTCCATGCAGCTATCCAAAACTCCCTCAAAAATAAAGAAATTTTTGTACCAAACGAATGGTATGCTGCCATCAAACTGGCTAAGAAGACTCAGCCCAAATATGAAGTGATTCAACTTAAGCAAGAAAAAATACATAATTTTGCAAATCTTGATTCTTACCAAGCTTGGGAAAAGCTGAAAACTTCTGAATTCAAGGAAGTTGTATTTGATGCTGCTGAACCAGGTTTCATCTACTACAAGACCCAATATGACAATGATGCTAAAAAGGTGAATGTGATAAAGAGAAAACCGGGGCATCCAGTCAATTGGAAGACAATCCCTCTACAAAGAATGTATCAAGACCCTATACCACTTCGTCCAATTGAAATGAAGGATCTCAAGTCTCTGTGTGATTCAGGTGCCATACCATCACGTTATCATAATTTTTACCAAGATATTTTTACCAGGAGTATGGGACAGAATGTCCAACCACCTCCGCCACCTGTACTTTCAGATGTAGAAGATTCTGATGAATCAAACCATGAAACTTCTGATTCTGATGCTAGTGCTGATAGTGATAGTGGAGAATAAAGGCAAGAATAATGACTCAAAGGTCATTTTTAATTTAATTTGACTGACTAGTTAATAATGTTAAAAATCATACCAGTTTCTGTTGTCTAGTTTTTGTTATGTAACTAAAAGATGTTTTGTTTGATAATAATTTGACACCAAGTGTGTGTATTTGTACCTTTTGAAAGTTAAACCATAATGTCTAATTCTGTGATCTTTGACAGGATGTGATACGTTTAAAACCTTAGAAGTGCAGTGTTTTAATCGTTATAAGAACTACCCGTACTAGTTTTATGATCTCAAACAAGTGCAATTATAATAATTTTAAGGATTGACAGTAGAGTTCATGTGATCTGTTTGGATTTATGATAATCCTTTGTGATTTTGTCGGTATGTTCCTGTTTACTTAAAAAACATTTCAAACCTTAGTTTATACATGTTTTTATTTACCTAAGAAAGTCAATGAACATGCCAAAGATATACTCATGTACAAGTTTAATAAAGTTTCAAATTCTTTATTTCTATTTCTTTATTCTCCAACTACTACTATTTTTGAAAACGAAATTTTACTACTTTGTTGATAAGGCTTAGTTAGCACCGGGCTGGGTGGTGCTTGCTGACGGTCAGCTTGAGGAGGCACGGCGCCAGGGTCGACTTGGTAGGTGCATTTGGTGACCGTCGTGCTGCGTGCTGGGCAGGACAACGACGGCGTTGGTGGTGTGTCAGAGGCCTTGGGGCCGCACCACACCCTGCCGCATGTCGCCCTTGACGCACACGCTGGGGTCCATGGGCGGGCCGGCCATGGCCGCGCCATAGTGCTGGTGCTGGTGGGGGTGCTCCTCACCCCCGTTGGGGCTCGTCCACAGGAAAGTTCTGCATAGCTCCACAATGGTGGCGGCGGGGTTGCGCGTGCAGGCGGGCGGCCGCATTGCGAGCGCGTGGAACAGGTACGTCACATTTCTGTTTGTGAACCCTGCGTTGCCTTGGCCGGCCTCGGTGGCCTCGCCATTGCCTCAGTTGGCCGTGTTGAGACCCCTGGCGGGTAGGCAGACCAGATTCACGTCAGTATTGCGGGCTGGCCTGCCTTGCCTCTGCCAGCTGAGCGGTAGTGTGTGTCGTCTGGGCACGTTTTTCGATTTTAAAAAAGTTACCCCTCCAAATTTTGTCCTTTTTTGATGTAGTTTCCGAGAATGACTTCGTTCTTCCCGTGCGACACGGTCTTCAGGTGGCAACCTTCCCTCAAAGCTGGAAAAACGACGACTTTTGCACGAGAAACGCCCGGTATGGACGGAAATCGGTTTAGAGCATCATAGAATTGTCCGCGTGGTACCATACGTTTCGGAAAGGAACAAAGAAACTTTTTTGGGCCCCACCAGCCCTTCTTGACCCAGCACAGGGCGTATCCACTTCGTTAAAGACGAAAATTAACCCAAAATGCACCATATATGCTCCAATAA